CTCTGGCCAAAGCCACCGCCCCCTCTCCCCGCCCGCGGCTGGGGGACTCGCCTCCCGCCAGGCGGGACTCGCAGAGCTCCCAATCGGATGACCCATCCAGCAGCAATAAGGGCTACACCCCCCTGCGAGAGGCCGGCACCTCCTTGGAGTCGGTCGTGGACGCAGTAGCTAGTAAAAGACAAGACTGTGCGGCCGCCACCGCCCCGGGTACGGAGCACAGCCCCCAGGAGGATCCCAGCCAAGAGCCACCCGCGGCCGAGCAACCTCAGCCGGTGCAGAGGCAGTTTACAAACAAGGAGAAACTCCTCATGATTTCCCGGTCTCATGCAATAGGGGTCGAAGACGGAGAACTGGAAAGCACTGGCATGTAGGGGAAGAGGAAGTGAGGGGGGAAAGGAGAGAGAAAACGGGAGAAACGCCCACTTGAATCAGTGCATTTAACAGTTCCCTGTTTCCTTCGTGGACTGATCCGAGGAAATCATTCAATACCCAAAGAGCTGCAGAATGTTATCCTTGAATTGCGTTCACAAGATTACTGTAGATATCTCCAAGCAATTTTTTTTAAAAAAGCAAACTAGTCTTTTTATGTCCGATGGTGATTGTATGTTCCATGAAAACCAAATGTATTAAAAGGTCAGCAATCTAGTTCCTTAGATAAAATTCTCTTAATTTTCTTAGGATCAAAATAATATATTTTTGACAGTAACTGTGCACTTTACTCCAACCTTCCCCCCAACCCCCAATCCCTAATTTCCCTAATCCCTGAACTCTGCCGCTGGTTTTGTCCATAGCTGCTTGTGAATGACAAGCTTTTTTCCTCCCTCCCTTTGAGGAGCATAGAAGGGTTTGTCTCAGTTCTCCTAGAATTATCTTACTGAATGAAGTCAAAACGAAAGCATTAGTAATCCCGGATAGGGCACCTTCCCTGTCCCACCCCTCTCTGCTCACCCAACTGTCCAAAGGCCTCTTTATTTTTCAAAAGGGTATTTGCATTTGGTACTAGGGTATGTTGTGGAGACTGGAGGGGGCCAAGAGCTAGGTGGATTTCCACATGCCTAAATTCACAACATCAAGTACACCATACTATACTGAGTATTGCCACAGCTGTATTGAAAATAACATTAATATTGAAAATCTTTTTTAATAAAAGAAAACTCCAAACAAACAGTTAAACATAATATCACCTCATTTTGCCTTGGAACTAATGCTCTAAAACACGTTAAACGGTTCATCTGATTAATCTAAAATATTTTGCTCTGACACTGCTCCTATGATGTAGTTATCTTCCCTCAAATTACCTATCATCATCATTACTCGATTAATTTCCAGTATATTTTTAACATAAAATATAGGGTAGTATTTAACATTTAGGAGTTTCTCTTTCAAATAGAATGAAACATTAAATAAACTGTAATTTTCTATGATAACTTCTAGTTTGCTTCATAGTATTAATTTACAGAACACCAAGCTTAATATTTATTCCCTTCCCGTCCTTTTGGATTTCACTATTTGATTTTGATTTTAAGTTCGTGGTCTTGAACCCATGGTTTATATAGACAAAAAAGGAATGTTTCAATAATTTGGTAGATTGTTTACGCTTGATTGTTATTAAAAGTCAATTAGTTAATTTTCAAGAACAGTAGACAAATTACAATCCTGATGCTTCTTCCTTGGAGTGTGACCTGAGAATCTTGGGAATAGTACTACTTTCTGTGGGTCATTCAGATACAAGTTCTTCAGTTACACGCTACCAAGGATATCACAGCAGGAGGTTATGATGCTGATTTTAAAGGAAAACCAGTGAGAGACTTGGTCGTGTTGGTCCCTGTGGGTGAGGCAGCAGCTGGTCCTGTGGAAAGTGTGCAGACTCGGACTCAGGCTGGACCTCAGCTCCCAGCGCACGGCTCTCTGTTCAGCCTGGGGCAAGTCATGAACGCTGAGTCTCCGTCATCTGATCCTTAAAATGAAGAAGCAGACATACCTCATAGAGCTATGAAGGGAATAGAGCAGGGTAGGGTAGGAGTAGGGTTTTTTATATGCAAAGCCTAGCAGAGTACCTGGCCCAGAGTGTGTATGCAATAGATGGTGGTTATTGTAATTACTGTTCCCATGTAATATGTTGTCTGAATGCATGTTGTAGAAGAATTGGCCTTCCCTTGACTTGAGCTCAAGAAAGCCCAGGCTGAAACTGGAATATCCAGTTATTATCTGCATAACCTTAGACAAATCGCTTAATCCTTCTGAGCCTCTGGTGGATGATATAATCTCTATGATCCCCTTTGGCTCTAAAAGCTTTACTTAAATTCAGGGTATTGGTTTTGTCCTGGATATAATCTTATCATATTTGTACACAGAAGTTGGCAAAGAGTGAATATACTTCATAAACTACCATTAGTGTAACATACTGTAGTAAATTTTAAAAGGACCTAATTTATTCCCAGATTGGATCTGCATTAAGCTAGTAACTCACTTTAAGGCTGTGGCTTAATTTATTAGGCTCTTCTATATAGCAAATGTGAGTTTCCACTAATAAGAGTGACAAGCAAGTTTACTGAGACCTCTAGGTAGTGCTAAATTTCAACAGTCTCGATTGCTTTATCATACTTCCAAAACTAATGTCAAATTTCCCTCCTTTTTTTCTCCATTACCTTGCATATTGGGTAATTTATATACTGAAAGAGTTTATTTAAAAGGAGAAACAGGTTCCGGTGTTCTACAATGCCATTTCTAGTCCTCGGAAAAAAAAAACTGTATGACATTTAGTAAATAATAAAGCCATTACTTCTTAGCTTAACTGCAGAGGGGTGAGCGGGATAATATTTATTTCTTACAAACTTCAGAAAATTCAGTCTAACCAACTGACTAGACTTAATGATGCTGATTGCCTAGTTATGTTAATCAGATTAAATAAAAACTTTTAGTTCATGTTGATCTCGTACACACAGGCCCTCTGAAATTAAATAACATTAGCGAGCTAACTTAGTTCAGTATCATGTCGTATCTATCTTAACCATTTAGCCATTTAACTAGATTTATTTTTCTGAAGATAAAAAAGATGAGCTCAATTTCTCAAATCTTGGGAGGAGCCTGGGATTTCCTCAGATTTCAGAAGGAATCTTCTGCAGTTGTGACCATAGCAATTCACAATCTTAACTTTCATAGGAGCAGAAATCTTCTGCAGTAATAGTGCTAAGTTTTACTCATTACTTACTGTGAGCCAAGTATGAGCTTTAGGCATATTATCTCAATTAATCCTCACAGCAACTCATCGAAGTAGGATTATTATTATTCCCATTTTACAGAGAAAGACGCCGAGGTCAGACCGATGGAGTAGCACCCAGAGTTAGACTGCTGGACAATGGTGAGGCCACTTTGAGGACTGTATGGACCTGTTGGCAGATGCTGAGCTGAGATATTGGCATTTCTGGAGACCGTCAAAATACTTTCTACCATCTTAGTTAGCTTCCCGTTAGATCCTTTTTCAAAACCATTCTTAGAGATATGCGGAGAAATGTTAGAACACACAATCAGATAAAAAGCTGGAGTTTGTGTTTCAAGTCTTTGGACTGGCATAAACAAGTGTTTTTGTTTTTCCTAAGTGACTTTACAGGATTTTTGTACCCAATGAATAGGAGTACTTGAAGGATCTGATAGATCACGGAATCCCCCCACTTTTATTTATAAATGAGGTTGCTAAGATTTCAAAAGATGGAACAATTTGTTCAGAGGCAAACAGCAGTGGCAGGACTAAAATGTTACAATAATTGCAACAATTGGCATGAGTGTTTCTTTCCCCTGAACGTCTCTCATGTACTTGCTGGTTGACCGTGGGCAAACTTCTCAGCCTCTCTGTGTGTCAGTTTCCTTTCCCATACACTAGGAATAAAAATGGCACCTACCTCACTGAACTGGAGTGAAAATTAAATGAATTAATGTCTGTGTAAAGTGTTTATAACAGGTTTGGCACATAGTGTTATAAAAGTTTTGTTAGTTTTATTTCAAACAGAATCAACTGATAAACAGTATTATTTTATATGGCCTTCATTTTTATTAATAAAATAATTTTAGGTTTAAAAATCTAAAGTGTAAGGCAACATAGCATAATGCTTCAAAGTGTGACTTGGAGGGGTTGCATAACACTGCAGCACTGTTAAATGGAGATAATAAATAGCATTTGACTCATAGAATTAATTACTTAAATGAGTACTAAATAAACTAATATACTTGGAGGACTTAGAAAAATTCCTCACACATAAAAAATGCAATAAATGTTAACTACCATTATTAAGGCAAAATATAGAAAAGTAATTAGTAGCTAAATTTACTACTCTGTTGTTAGGGACAACCAAGAACTTACTAGACTGAAGTCTTTATAATTTAGGTATAACAGAAAGAGAAATAGACTTTAAAAAACGAGGACTTACGCTGCTGCAATGGCCCCGACAGAACATAGAACTAACAAGAGCTAGATATATGCTCCTCGGGGTCCCATGATCATAATACTACGTAACAATGAATGAACCCCAAAACTGGCTTAGGTGGCTGTAGTTAGCCAGGATTATTCCCTTTCCACTCACTGAGGCTGGTAGAAACAGAAAGGCCAGACAAGCGCCTGAGGTCCCACTCCCTGTCTGTCAGAAAGTGCTGAAGTAATTACCAGGTGCTCTATTGATTTATTTAAATTGTCTACACAAAAGTGTTTTTTACACTAGTTTTCTCTTTCGTTTATTTTTTTTAAGATGCAGTTTTGAATTTTTTTTGAGCTAGAACACCTGAAAAAAAAAAAAAACCCTCCAACAACATACAGTTAGTACAAAGTATGTGAATTTGTATTTTGATTGAAATAGTATTTTTGCCAACATATGACATTTTATAGTCAGGCAACTTATAAACAGGATCTTCTTGTATTAAGGTTTGCAGTTTAAGGTTGATGTTCTCCTCATCCATAATAAAGAATAGGCTTGATATTTATGGAGTTTGTTTTCTATAAACCTAGACTATGTTCTTAATTTTCCTTTTTTTTTTTTTTTTGAAGGTGGAGGCTAAAAATCATTGGGTGAATATTTAGACTACGTTTTTGAATGACTAACTGTGAAAAGCATTCTAAGACTTTTTTCCGCCCAGGGAAATCATTTTTGAGGGTTTTTTTTCTTCAAAAAGAAATGAGTTTCTTCAAGTGGATATGAAAATTATATGTTTTTTCTATTAAGCCACCACAAGTTGGGGAGCCCAACTTTAGTTAAACAGCCACCTTCCACTCTCCAAAGACCTGATGAGCTACTTATTTTCTGTGTGCCATCTGTTTATCTATGATGTCAGAGCAACACTGGTCCATATGAGCTTGAGCCACAGTAGGAGTTACAAATGCCTGCCCTCTGGGGATTTAGCCTTTACCCAAGAGCCAGAGGCTCTTTAGACTGTGTGCCATCTGTTTATCTATGATGTCAGAGCAACACTGGTCCATATGAGCTTGAGCCACGGTAGGAGTTACAAATGCCTGCCCTCCGGGGATTTAGCCTTTACCCAAGAGCCAGAGGCTCTTTAGAGTTTCTACCGTCTAAAAAGATACTGTTATTTAACCTTAAATGGGCTCCCAATCCTTACCCCTTCAAAAATGCCAACCCTTACTCCTTCCAAAATGTAAT